TCCTGGATTTCCTTAGGAATCAGTGAGGCAAGAGTGTCCCACAGTTCCCCATACCACATCATCAGGAGATTACAGCACTTCCTGCACTTCCTCTAGCTCTTGGCTTCTGTGTGATAGGTGAGAAGGGGAGAATACAAAGGTGCCACACCCTGAGAGATACAGGGTGTCCAAAACAGAGATTCATCCCATCCACTCGGGGCAGCTTCTTTTTGCCAGGACTGGTATGTATGATTTGGTGGTGAGAGGGAACCAGGAATTCACTTTTAAGATGAATATTGGACATCCATGTGTTATTTTGATTAGACAATTTGACCATGTGAGACTGTCTACCCTTTGAGATCATGATCTACATGGAGGCAAAGTCTATGTCTTGGTGACTGTTGTAACTATCATAGTTCCTGAAAGATAGTAAGCACTCAAATATTTTCACTGTTGAATATAAGATGACTTTCAAGGTCATTTTTATTGTGAAACTTTTATGTGACTGCATCCTCCTTATCAGCTGAGTATCTTCTCCTGGGACAGGACCCCACACATGATAGCACTCATGACACTAATGTAACGGTTTATGTGTCTCCCTAGCCCAGTCTCATGGTTCATGATTTTAAATACATCTATCTATCTATCTATCTATCTATCTATCTATCTATCTATCTATCTATCATTATCTATGTATATCTATTTGTCTGTTTGCCTAAAGCCTAGGTTCTTCCCTGAACTACAGGATCATATGCCCAAATCGTCTAATCAGCATATACAGTTGAAAGTCCAGTATCTATCTCTGACTGTCTAAAAGTGAACTCCTGATTACCCTACTGCCACCACCACCAATCACACATACCATCCTACTCCAGTCTTAGCATTTCTCACATCAGTTAATGACAACTCCATATTGCCAAAAGTTTAGGCCAAAAACATTGGTGTTATCCTTGATGTTTTTATTTCTTCTAACTGTTCACATCGAATCTATCAGTAAATGGATATCAGTATCCTATTGTCTCTACTTCAAAATGAATCCAGCATCTAAACACATCTAGTCTCAGGGGGCCAGGGTGTCTCAATTGGCTAAGTGTCCGACTTTAGCTCAGGTCATGATTTCATGGTTCATGAGTTAGAGCCCTGTGTGGGGCTCTGTGCTGACAGCTCAGAGCCTGAAGCCTGCTTTGGATTCTGTCTCCCTTTCTCTCTGCCCCTTCTCCGCTCACACTCTTCTCTTTCAAAAATAAATAAACATTACAAAATTAAATACTTCTAGTCTCCTCTGCTGCTACCATTACTGGAATAATTTCATAACTAATCTCCCTGCTTCTACTGAAATCTATACCCTCAACACTGTTATTAGCAACACAGCCTAAGTGATCCCTTTAAAACATTAACCCTAGAGGAGAAAGCAGGAAATAACCTCCTTGAACTCGACCGCAGCAACTTCTTTTTTTTTTTTTTAATTAATTTATTTTTTTTTTACAAATAGTTTATTGTCAAATTAGTTTCTACATAACACTCAGTGCTCATCCCCAAAGTGCCCTCCTCCATGCCCATCCCCCCCTCCCCCCCACATCCATCAGTCCTCAGTTTTTGTCAGCATTCAAGAGTCTCTCATGGTTTGCCTCTCTCCCTTTCCGACCGCAGCAACTTCTTACTTGAAACATCCCCAAAAGCAAAAGAATCAAGAGTAAAAATAAACTGTTGGGACCTCATCAAGATTAAAAGCTTCTGCACAGCAAAGGAAACAATCCATAAAACTAATAGGCAACC